TGTCTTCTGCTGATGAAACAAAGCTATCATCTTTGAAGGATATTTATCATAAAAGACAAAGGGAGAACAATCAGCTGCCAGACCAGAATTTTATCCCTTCTTCCCAGTCAAGCCACCCACCAGAGGTAACAGGAATTTTTTTTTACTTCCCGACTCCCTTTGAAAATAGGATCGGTGCTGGGGTGATTTCACATTAATTGGCCCTTGCTGCCACCTCCAGTGTTATGCTGGAACCGCAGCAATTCCTGCAGCTGGGTGATGAATCAGATTTTCAGCTGGATCCCTTCTCAAAAGAACCTCTAAGAACATGCAGGGTGAACAAGCACCTTTTGCTGCACAACCTTGAGGATGGTGCAGGGACAAATCTGCTTGCGCTGAGGCTGCAGCTGCTGAAATGCACGTGGAACTGCAGTCGCAGCAGCAGGGTTTGGTTACAGCTTCCCACAAGATAAGTTCATTGCACTCATAAAACAGAAAAGGCTCGGGTTGTGGAAATACTCTTTGTCATATCTGTTTCTTTATACAGCTTTCAATCTTGTACAAAATCCAGGAGTGATGGCTACTGCGCAACTATTTTGTTTACTTAATCCATGAAGTGTTTTTCCTACCTGTCCAAAGTTTTTGTTTCAACCTACAGATGTCATAATCCTTCTATTTACATAACTGAAGTTTCGAAGGCTTTCCAGACAGCTGCAGATGTTAGTTATGTCTTTATTCTTAACAGAAACTTAGAAACTCAAGTTGCAAACTTTTGAGGATATGTATCATCATGTAAGCGGTTACGGGCCCCTTCATCTTGCTTGTCACTACCAAGTGATTGTAGCAATATTCCGTTTCATGCCTGCGATATATTATATGGTTTACTTGTGTCTTCACATAAACTCTTTCTACAAGAACAAAAGTTAAATAATTTTTTTTTTTAAACCATTGTAACTTATTTCTTAGATCTTGACATTGGACCCAACCCTGCATATGAAACCAGGTCAGCAGAACCCAGGACGCTGTTTTTTCAACATTCCTGAAGAGACTACCCCTTTTTCTCCAGACTCCATGGCAGAACCCGGATTTTCAAGTCATTGTGACACAGACTCTTTTTCACAGACAAGCAATTCATCTCAATTGGATGATTCTCCAGAATATCCTGCCAGCAGCAGAGCTGTGCATGTGGACCTCTGGAAAAATCGCCCATTCCAAAGTGGAAACCAGACCAGCTGTCCCTTTCCAGTGGCGTACAGGGATGCAAATAGTGATACTTTAGTCAACACTGAGGAGGAAGAAACACTGACTTTAACTCCATCTTCTGTTACTCAGTGTGCTGACAGCAGTTTGCCAGAATACAGCCTCTCAGTGACATCTGTTGAAGATCCTGTGATAATGTCAAAGTAAGTAATTTTTCTTTTTGAAAAAGTCATAAAGTTGGTACTTTCATGAAAGATGTCAAACTTAACAACACTAGTAAGACGAAGAAAATGTGAATTCTGTTTGCTTAGAGCATAGCTAGCCACTGCTGCCTATTTTTTCTTTTTTTCCTCCCCTGAAGTAGAAATGACGTACAACTAGAGCAGTAATTTTCCCCTTCTTACAATTGTCTGTCTTTAGACTGTACTGTTTAATCTTCTTTAGACCATACTATTTAATCTAAGGCAGAACATTTGTTCCTTGTCTTCCTCGGATGTCAGAGCCTTAACTGGAAGGCAAAAATATTTTCTGTGGTTTAATGTTTTGGTTATTTCTGTTTATATGTTAAAATAAAGTTACATGCTTCCTTCATAGGCTGTATGAGGGAGCTAATTTAGGCAGAGGATTTCAAAGTTCTGTGGTGGTTATGTTTATCTATTTAGAATCAGATGGTGGGAGAACCTCAGAATTACTGCACTTGGACAAAATAAATAACCCCCGCTGACTATTGAAGCTCTCATGATTTGCACATGGACAGGCAGGCATGTAGGGGTCATGGTTTCAAGAGAGTTCCATGGTTTGAGTTCTCCTCTTTTAATTTTACATGCATAGTTTCTAGTGTATAGCAAAGGAGAGAAATAAAGCTTTGTATTGTATTTATATACATTATTTGTATAGAATGTTAAATATTTGTATTAGTGTGAAGACTTCTATGCAAGCCTGAGGTGTCTGACACCACTGCCTTAGATAACAAACCTTACTTTGCTTTAATATGAATGCAAAAAAGTTCTGTAAGAAACTTACGTGCTGAGTTGGTTATGCAGGAATGAATACAGCAGTGCATGGTCATGTGGCTAGCTGGAGATTTTTTAATTTTGAAATTGATTCTTTGAATTTGATTCTTAATTTTGAAAACAGGATTAGGCAGAACTTGAGGGAAAAACATGCTCGACACATAGCTGATCTACGAGCTTACTATGATTCCGAGATACAGAGCTTAAAACAGAAGCTAGAGGCAAGCTATAGAAGTGCTTCATCTGAAGACTTGAAGAAAATCAATCAAAATCTTGCTGACAGGTACTGCTTGTCCTTACTTGTCCTCTTCCTCTGTTACATGATATTCTTTCCACTTTAAAAAATGCGTAGGCTTGTTTAGAATATCTCAAAATATTTATGTCGCTCTACAGTTCTGAAGATTTCATGCATCTACATTATTACTGTTTTCCTGTTAAGTATAAGTTTTTGTGTTGTTTAATGCAGCTGCTTAAGATCAGTTTAAAATTATTCTTAGGCAGCAAGCGTGATGTTTGGACCAGAGATCTTGTTTGACCTGATTTTTTTACTTTACCTTTCATGTCAAAGCTATGGGTGATATAGGACCAGTCTTGAATTCATTGGTAGTGTTAGAGAGCCAATTTACCAGTTGGTGCTCTTGGACCAGATGTTACTGCTGGAGTCTGTATGCCTCACCTCTATAGTCCATTAGATACAGCTTGAATGTTTGCTATATACACAAGGTCAATGTGATTTTTATATCATTACTGCCAGTCAAAATATATATTGTAAACATAGACAGCTAAAATACTTTACAGAATGTATGACTTTCAGAATAATTGAAAAAAGTTTGTGTGTAGTTGGGACTCTTTTGTACTAGGTCCAGCACTAGTGGTGTGTTCTAACTATTAAAAGTTACTTCTGAGCAGTCTTTTATTGAGTTAAAGTAGCTTGTGATACGACTTCAGTCATCACTTATCACGCAACATCAGCAATTAGCTGAAGTGGAACTGTGGTGTATCTCAGCCGCTCTTGGTTCTGCGGCTCTTACTCTTTGAGCTGGGCACTTGCTGCGGTAGCTGGTGACTTTGGGAGGAGGTTACAGTCTGTGCAGTGATGTTTGTGAGGACACTGGAGGAAGGCAGGCAGGCTAGGAAATGTACTTTTACAATTCTAAAATCTCAAGAGGCTTTTGTAATCTGTGTCTTCGAAACAGGTGTGACCAGTTAGATGCGGCTCTGAATGAAGCAAGCGCTCGCATAAAAGCCCTTGAAAATAAGAATAATATGCTAGAAAAGCAAGTGGTAAGTCTGTGTTCTTAAGTCAGGTTGCCTTTTAACTAAAAGGGTGAAAGAATGCACTTGTTCTTCATTAAGCTGACCTGTGTTTCTAGAGCTTTCTCTGGATTTTCAATCTTCTTCCTTATTGTGTGACATCAGCCAGTACGTTACACCAGTGACTTTCCCAGCTGAGTTTCTTAGGACTCCCTGCTTGAATCATCACTTCTGCGTATAAAAAACCTTTCCGGGTTAGCAGGAATCAAACAAGGTTTAAAAGTGAAGTATTGTGATGCGTTCATGATGTCCCTCTTCAGATTTTTATTTTTTAGATTTATTTTGTTTTAATTACTTTCTGTTGGATTTCTTATGGAGCTGTGATAAAAGTGAATCTCATTTGCATTGGGGCAAAAATATTATTTTTCAAAGTATATTTATACAGTCTTTTCTGACTTGGTCAGACGAATTTCCGTATGACTGAATAGCTACATTTCCTGATCAAAGAACACGATGCTTTGCCATGAAAGTTAGACACCTGGAGACACTACTTATTTCTACCTTTTTTAGTCATTTTTTTTTAATGCTGGAAAGCAAGACACTCAGCTGGGGTTAGAGGCCTAACCTCTAGATATTTTAAATCCTATAAAATAAACACATCTTTTGCATTTTTAGTCTTCATTCTTTATGCACCATGGGAGTGAGCAAAAACCTTGTTTAGCTCATGTACAGATATGTTCTTTTTTTTATTTAGATGATTTTAGACTAGGCTTTGTATTCATGTGCAAACTCGTGACTGGCCCAGCCCTAACCCCTGATATACAGAAATAAAAAAATCTGCTGGATAAGCATTATAATGAATGTTGGGTTTTTTTCTCCTCCAGGCAGATTGGAGAGAACGCTTTTATGCCGTCAATAGTACTTCCAAAGTTCTGCAAGAACGTATTGAAGAAATGCGCACAAATAATAAAGAGAAGGATAACACTATCAGTCGACTGAAATCGAGGCTTAAAGATCTAGAGGAAGCATTTGAAAAGGCTTACAAGTTATCTGATAATAAAAATATGAGGCTAAAGGAAGAAAATAAAATGTTTCAAAATGTAAGTAAGAAAAGGGGCAGTGGTGGTTACGGTTGCTCGGATGTTATGAACGCAGCAAGTCCTGGTTGCTTCGGAAAGCTACTCACAGTTTACCTTTTTTTTTTTCCTCTCTTGGGCTTAGACTGGGGATTTTTCATAAGTCTTCACAACTTACTAGAACTGTTAATTGTGTGTGATTTGTAGACTCAGTCAAAGGAATTGTTCCTCTGATGCTTCAGGAACAGCTTTATGGAATGTTTAAATGGATTGGCAAAATGGATGTTAGCTGGAAACGCCACTTCAGGCTTTAACTCCTTTTTTTTACAATTAAAATTTCAAAATACAAAGTCAGTGAGGAATTCTACAGGTTCATTTATCTCCTTCAACTTCTTTAGAGAGAAATAATTTGAAAATTATAAATGTATTTTGTGAGTAGCTCTGTATTCTCTTGTCCTGTGTATAACATTTTTCTTCCAATTAGAAGATGCTAGAACTTAACAAATACTGTTAAAGTACACGTTGTACCCCCTGTAGTCCTTCTGCATGTGTTAGACAAACAGTTTTGATAATTTTGTAGCAATCAACAAACTGTTAATTGTGTACGGTCTCAGTGTGGGTTTGTGTGTTCTCTGTTTTGTTTTAGCTTTTAGGAGAATATGAGTCCCTTGGAAAAGAACATGAAAGAGTAAAGGTAAGTACACGCTAGTTAATTAAAAAAAAAGCCCCAAACAACAAAACAAGCAAAATATGTGATAATGTGAAAACTCATAGAGCTAACCAAAATTTAAAAAAAAAAAAGATCAAAGGGAAAGATCCATATTTAACTGATAGCTTCTTGCTTATCTTCAGAGCCCTGGAGGTAAAAGGAAGGAGCTTGAAATTATAATTTTCCAGTGATAGACAACAAAAAATATTGCAGTCAAAGCCAAAGAAATGTAATGGACCTCCCTTTCAAATAGGAAGGTGTATTTAATGCATTGTTTTCAGGACTAATGTAGTTGCTCATTTTAATAGACTTCTGTAGTTTCTAGGCTTTTTACATTTTTCCTTGTGTGCTTGTAGGATACATTAAATACAACTGAAAACAAATTGCTTGATGCAAACACGCAGATTTCCGATTTGAAAAGGTAAATGTGAAGCTGTCTTATTACTATTTTAGCAATATGAAATACAGGCTGTGGCTTAAACATTTACTTCTGGATTCTAAAGGCTGTAAATCTTGCAAGTTTAATTACACCTATGAAGCATTTTGTGTTGCTTTGTGTTAGTTTGTGCACGCTGTAAAAATGTCATTATTTTTAGGGTATGTGTGGTTTTTGGTTTTATTTTTCTCTACTTCCTCAATCACAATGTCTTCCAGGTGGATGTGCTTAATTGCATCCTTCCTGACGACTGTCACTCAGCTAACCTGGCCAGTCCACTGTGTGGCTCAGGCTTTCACTGCGACAGTCGTCCTCGCAGCAACTTCAGCTCATCATCTCTGTTCTGCCTTTTTTTATTTTGGGAGCAAGGATGCTGACAAGAGTTTGTTGTTCAAGACTGTGGCTCCTAGGCAGGAATAAAGCACAGAAGGGTGTTCCATGCGTAGAGCAGGAGTACTATCTCCTGTGGATGTCCCTCATGCTACCTAGATCTGTTTTTTTGATCCTGTCTTTCTAGTGAGGTCACTTAACTCAGTTAACTTAGAATTCAAATAGGTAGATAGATAAAAATGCAATAGTTGCTCTTGTTCTTCTGTTTCACTCAGGATATCTGCATGAAAATGAGTAAACTCTTAAGAAATATGTTGGATGTTTTATGTAATTTAAAATCATAATGCATCTCTGCTACTTCCACATTAGGACAATTTCAAAACTTGAAGCTCAGCTCAAGCAGGTAGAACACGAAAATACGCTGAAATTTCGCCATATTACTGAAAGTCGTTTAAGAACCTCCTGTGCCAAGTAAGTGAATATTCCAACAATGTCAAAACAGGTCACGTGTTTTAGAATACTTTTTAACGTGTTTTGGCTAAAAATGGATCAAGATTATGTCAGTCTGTAGGCTAAACTGGATTAAACATGTGTGACGTAATTTAGAGACTTCACATGCCAAGAAATTATTAAAAACAAATAAATACTTTGGATAATCTCTGTGTGACTTGGCAGGCTGTCTCTAGTCTTCCCAAATGAGTGTTTCATAGGTCTCAGTTGCTCAGCTGAATAGGAGTTCTCATGCTCAGTGAAGATCTTGGGACTAAAACCTAATAGTCCAATTAGACCTTGGAGGTTTTCTTTGTGTCTGCTGATTACTACTTCTATAAATAGAGTTTGTACGGGTATCCTGAGAGTAGTCTAGAGGTTCAGTTAGAATGCAAACTCTACCTTGAATTGTGAATTCATGTTCAAGAAATTAAAGTTGGCTTGTGTTCTATTTCTTTATGTTTTAAAGACTTGAAAAGCTTTATGTTTTATTACTGAGTTGTGGCTTCTTTGGTGTCCCTCCCAGTTCAGCACTGATGCTTTGAAGCACAACATTATAATATAATGTGTTTTGTTGACGGCCATTTGTAAATATTGAATAGTAGTATTTCAGGGGGATCTTACTGATGATGATTTTGAAGATGTAAGTAATTTATGTATTATGGGGACATATTTATGTTTAGAGCTATTGTAATGTTCATGAACAAGATCCCTGAACAATGAACCGAAAAAGACCTGAACATGGCAGACCGTGTTCATCAGGGAGGAGGATGTAAAAGCCGATATGGCTTTGGAAGTTAATCTGTCTCTTAACTGATCTCAAAGAAAACCTCATCCCAATTGACTGAGGATAGATTTACAGAACAGCAGTTACAATTCAAAGCCCCCGAAGAACCCTTTTTTCGTAATTATCGTCTACTTCCCTGTGTATCAAGATCACACTTGTCTTTTGATACTTCAGGATAAACTACTAAGCACAAATGACTATATTACTATCACTCTCAAGTCATCAACAGTGACTTTTGTTGATGGGATTTTTTGTTTTTATTTTTCTAATAAATGATGTCAAAAGGAAAGCTAAACTATTGGAGTAATCTACAGCAAAATGTTTTCATTTAATTAGTTGACAACCTTGGTCTGAGTAAGCAGCATTAAGTTACAAGAAGATCTTCGGAGTTCTGCATTCAGAGTATATTGTGTAATTTAGGCTGAAACCTCAACATATTATATATTTTTTTAGTATTTTATTTTTATGTTACAAATGTGTTTTAAAAAACTAGTGATTTTTCCATAGTTCTCTGTGTATTTGTTACTGTTTCTGTTTAACTAGGATAAATAGTTGGATTTTCTTAATTTCTATCTGATATTTTAAAAAAAGTAGTAGTTCCAAAGCCTTTCATAATTTTGAAGTCTTTTGTTCCCACAGCAAGCTGGCAACTCCTGATGTCAGCAGACGGAAGTGGTTGATACCAGGAGCGGAGTACTCAATCTTCACTGGCCAACCTTTGGAAGTGCAGGATAGCACCAAAGATAACAGATTAGAAGAAACCCGTATTCCTTCTCGGTGAGTTGGTTTCCTTTGGTCTCCTCTATGATGTGAAGTTGAACTTGTGTAAAAATAGTTTTATCCAGAATTGACTAGATTTGTATTTTTTTAGATTTTTGTACTTGTTAAACAGAGTCCTAGAAAATTTGTTGGTGTTGTAGATGCTATACAATTGCTTAAAAACAAATCGCCTTTCTTCCTTCACCAACCTGCTATGAAGCAAGCAGCAGCCTTCAATACCTTCCTTGAAATATCAGAAAGCTTCAACTGCATCTTGCAACACTTCACACTCCCCGTGTTTGTGTCCAGTTCTGCCCTGGGTTCGGACATGGTGTGCTCTGTTGTGCGGGATCTGAGCTGTAGCGGTTGGTGTAATTTCTCAGTAACTTGCTTTCTTCCTTAGAATTTCTAAAGCCTTGTTAGGATGTTTTGAGTTGACATGTCAAGTGACCAAATTTAACTCACCCTGTTCAACTTTAGATTCTCAAACTGGCTATAAACGTAATCCTCTGGGGTTCTTGGCTGAAATCAAAAAGCACCCGTACATTTTTTGTTTTGACATCTGTAAATTTCTCCAGGTTTTTGTTTATTCAGCTAGTATTTGCATATAAAATAAAGTGAAAAAAACTTGATCCTTTTTTTCCCCTCACTGGACCATGTTCTTTAAGGCACCATTCTCCTCCTGAAAAAGACTCCTCACCAGACGACTCTTCAACAAACACAATAGAAAAAGAAAATGAGATGTCAGAAGCACCAATTATAAAAGCCTTTAAAGAACTTGAAGAAGGAAAAGCATTTAAAGATTGGGGTACACAGACAGAAAAAGACGACACATCAGCTAGTAACTTTTATTTTTATATTCCTGAACTTGTCTTTACTGGCTTTTCTTTGCATGTCTTTTGATTTTGTTATTCTCAGCATAAAAGTCCATCAGGATCGAGTGATGGGATAAAAGCAGTTTTAGCATGCAAACTGCTGGAGTTTTCTTAAAATATTCAAAATTGTATAGCAAAGCAACTCGGTCAAAGTAGAGGGAATGCAAAGGTTGCTGTTAGGTCTCAAGCTGGAGCGTGGTCAGTGTCCTTTTGCTGAGAATATTTCAGTATTTATAAACAGTTAATGGAGTCCTATCAAAGCTCTGGCTGGCTGTATGTTCAGTTTTAGTTTCAGTCTCATGGTGCATGAGAACGTTACTAAGAAGCTGGCAGGTGTTCTGTAGGGCTGCCCTGAGCTGATTAACAACATTGATTTCGGACGCCTTGTAATTAGAAAACGTTGAGACTTTTAAGTGCTTATATTCTTGGTTCACGCAGGTACTCCAACCCTCATTCTCAAAAGATGCTTTTGTCCTGCTTCCCCGTCTCTTTATTAAATCAGTGTTATTTAGCATCATTTCTCCCACACGTGCTGCAAAGCATCCTTTTTCGGGAGTTTAACTGTCTCTTCCGTGCATATGATGGGCAGGAAGCAAGACTTGAGCAGAACAGCACGATGATGTTGATGTGAAGCCAATGCAGTGCAGGCTTTGTACACTGAAAGATGAGTACAGTAGAAAAATCTGTGAGTTCTTCTATTGAAGAGATCAATTATTATATTAAACTTTTTCTTTTGTAATTAGAAACATCAAATCGACGTCAAACTGTTGGGTTTGTCGAAACTTCTTTAGTTGCTAACCGATCCCCAGAGAAAGGTAAAGACCAACACAGACAAAAACGATACAACTCCCCTTCTGGCCAGAGGTCATCATCCCTTCCTCCTTCAAACAGGAAATCAACTACTCCAAGTAAGTGCTTTTCTGAAGTTTGGTTTGTGTTACTCAAAAAGCAGAAGCAAATAATGAAATAGTGCTCTAAGAAGACTGGAAAACAAAGATAGGATTTCTGTGTTATTCTGACAGGTAGTTTGCAAAAAAGTTTGCGTATAATCACAGATGTGAGAGTTCCAAGTTTATTTTTCTTTTTCGATGTTGTGATGCACTTCTCAGCTAATTCAGGTAAATGTGTAGACAGCTTTGAAAAACATTCTACGATGTAAGCGTCTGATTGCCCGAGTGGGAGACTCTACACTGGGAGACGTTTTAGGTAGTTAAACATATGTCTTTTGCAGCAAGAAGAGAGATAATGCTGGCACCAGTGTCGGTGACGTACAGCCCAAAACGATCTCCAAAAGAAAACCTCTCTCCTGGATTTAGCCATTTGCTTAGCAAAAATGAAAACACGGTGACAAGGTACGAGTCTTGTGAGTACAATCGTGTTCTGGTCATTATTTGAGCAGTGGTACATTTGTGTTCATGCAGGCTCAGTGCTGCTGTTTCTTATTCATTAAAAGTCCTAAAAAATGAGTCATGAAGAATGTAAAAGCTAAGTTTTACTTCTTAAAATCTGGCAAGAATAATCTAGAATGATTTCCCATCTTTGGCATTCACCGAGCTGAGATACTGGGTTTACTGTTGACTCAATATTCACCAGTGAGAAAGAAGTACTAATAGTTGAAAGTAGTATCTACATACAAGTTGTGGCACCTAGAAGCATGTTAAAAATATATAAACTTAACTTTCTGCTAACTGTAGTAAATACTGTGGTTTCTGTAGAGATCTTTTGCTTGGTAAGACTTGTAGAGTTTGAGAACTTACTTAGCTGTGAGATTAAAGTGTAGGACACTCATCTAAGGAAGTGCACGAGGAAGAAGAAATGTCTAGCACTGGGCTGATGGTTTGTGAGAAAGATGACACGGGATCTCGGTGTGTTTGGGAGTGACAGCTTGGCGTGCTTTTGAAAGCAAGTCACACAAAGGGGAATTTTGGTGTGTGGAAATAGAAGTATGTTGAGGTAGGGTACTATGAGCAGTAATCAGTGGACTTGCAATGCTTGTGGGATAGAAATTGTTTTATAAAAATAACGTTTATTTAACCAAAAGTTAAAAAAGTAGAAAATAGTATATTGCTTGATACATGATTTCTAGCAAGTAATTGTTGCGTGCTTCCTGCGCTGCAGATTTGATATCCTTCTAGACGACCTGGAAGCTGGTCCTGCATCTACTTCACAGCACAACAATACAAGAAAAAGGCTCCAGTTTCTGTCGCTGGATGATGTAGAAGGTAATTTGCCAAAGTGGGGGAAAACCGGCCTATATTTTTTACGTAATTTCTTCCACATTGGCAACAGTTGATTGAGTAGAAAACTGACACTTTAGTCTTTGGAGCAGACAACTAACCATTCATGCAGTATATTTTTTTCTGTATATATTGTGTGTGCACAAGCACAATGGAACAACAGAAATAATTAAATTGAGAAAGAAAGGCAATATGTTTTTCTATGCTTAACTCAGTTACACCATGCATATCTTAGTAGTCTATGTTAAGATGTACATACTCAGGCTAATAAAATTCTATTCCTAAACATGGCATTACAGATAGCAAAGAGTAACTACAGTGAAGGCAGTTGTTTCAGATTTTTTGAATGATTGAAGCAAATCTTCTCTGTTTTGTAATTTTTGTCATAACGTTCTGCTTTTGTTTTTATTAATGCATTTGTTTAGCCTACTGTTTGCATGACAGCTAGTCTACTTGGTGATATTTAGAAGTGTTGTACCAGTCGAAGTAAGTCATAATTAGCACAGTAAAGTCATCTGTTTGTTCTCCAAAAAAATATGCTGTGTTTGAAGATCCCTTGAAAGATGACCCATAGAAATGTTTTGCATTCTTCTGGGCAGTTTGCTTAAGGCAAGCTAATAAGGCTTTGCCAGTCACTGTCCTCAGTTTCTGTACCTCCAAGATCACACTGTTTTTCTGTCTTAGGTAATAATTTCAGACAATTACAAAAGAAGTAAAACAACCCCTATTTTATTGATAGGAAGGCAACATCTGGGTGTCAGACACAGCTCGTGTGTGGAATCCACCAATACTGGAACAACGAGAGCGATGGCTTGGGACGAGAGGAGTGTAACACAAAAATATGAGCCGGCGCTATCACCTTGTGAGGGAGACTTCAAATACACAGCAAGGCTTACAACTCTGGCTGAAACAGAGAGGCTTTTTGATGAGCTGACTCAGGAAAAGCAACAGGCAAAGATTATTTTTATTATAAAGTTTTGACAAAATGTGATCGTTGTCAGAGAGGTGAGGGATGTAGCCCTGCACCTATGCAACGCACGGCTCAAATTCAGCGTTACCCTGCTCTACTTCCCACACTGCAGTCCCTTTCTGTCCCTTGCTTGGCTGTAGGAGAGTCACTTTACCATAAAGACAGAGTGAACAGAGGGGTCAGGGTGAATTTACTTTCTTCCTTAATGGATGAGGCTTTAAATCAGCCTTTTGAACACAGAGGGTTATTCGAGCAAGTAAGAGTGCTCTCTTCAAAATGATCCTTGAGAAGGTCTGCTTATGGATATTAATTTGTATTTCAGTTTTGTGTGGCACGGTATTAGGATAATATAAGTTAGTGTTTAAGAACAAGACTGGATGTGTATCTTATCCATACATCTCACCTCTCTTTTTGTAAGATGAGTTAGGAAGACTTTTATTGGCTTTTGAAACTGTAATTTATAGCTGAAGTATTTTCTGCTATTAGATTGAGGCTGCATTGAGTCGAATACCTTGTTCGGGTGGAAGAATGACCTTGCAAGCAAGATTAAATCAGGTGAAAAAGCTTCTACGTATGACTGTTCTCCTAAATTGCTCTTCCACAATTTGAGAACTAAGTGTAGACGAAAGCTCTGTTACCTAGTAGGTACAGTTACTAGGGGAATTTTCCTATACCACTGAGATATGTTCCTGGATATGGCTGAATTTGGAATCTCTGTGAAACACTTTCCTAAGACTTCACCACATTGGAAGATAATCGGAACGTTACTGCAGGTTAATTGTAAACACACTATGACTTGCTGTGTAAAAGGTGTAAGTCTTGATAATTTGTATGCGATTCAAGACAGAATAATTAGGTCTGGAAACATTTATTTTTCACCCCTTGCCACCACAAACTGACAAGTTTTATTTTGTGTGAGAGCATGTGTAGATAGATCCATATGAAAAAAAAAAAAGTGTGTATACATGTATATCCTGCCAGTCACCACAGTGGTCATCTGTTTCCTAAGCGTGTCTCTCTAATTATCAGCCTGTCCTAATTCTTGTCAAGTTTGTCTCATGGAGTTTCAAAAGTTGCACAGAAGCAAGCTGAAATACCTGAAACAGTTTTAAAAAAAACCCCCAAACAACTACCCACAAATACGCCAAAATAAGATGAAAAGTTTGTAGATGTGGCTCTAGATTTTGGCTGCTAACAGAAGGCATCACAAAGATGCCAGTTCCGAATATAGGAATTACTGTAATTCCTTAATTTTAGAAGGATCACTGATTTTGTTGGGTGTTATTAAATCCTCTTTTCTTTCTTTCTCTCTTTCTTTCTTTAACTCTTCTAGGAAGCCCTGGAAGATCGCTTGGAAAGGATTAATAGAGATTTGGGGTCAATACGCATGACTCTGAAAAGATTTCACGTTTTGCGTACCTCTGCAAATCTTTGACAATTCTCCCTTGAATGCAACTAAGCTTTTTTTTTTTTTTTTGCACTAATGTAATTATGCACTCAGTAAATGCAAATTGTTTTGTATTTTTATAAACCCTCAATAGTAGTTTTACAACCATGTTGCCCTTTACAAACAGCAATATTTTGTACCTCAAACAGCCACCTATATTTTAAACATATTTTTGTTACACCTGAGAAATCAATGTTTATCCTGTATTGTAATATTTTTAGAAATATTAATTATTTTTAAATAGTGATATTCAATTTATAAGACGAATAAGAAACTAAAAGGCAGCTTGTTTTTGGAAAATGATAGTGTTATCCTTTTGCACTTCATTTTCCCTCACCGTTTTATAAATATTTATGGTATGGTGTAAATATTAGCGATAGGAAATTTTGAACTTTAATACAAAAAGCAACGTGAAATACCTGCGTTAAAGGTAACTACTGTTATATGGTAAATCCTTTTAACTTAAACCTCCTCATGTGGTTATTTTTCCTTGTGCCAAAACCGTGAGCAAGACCTCTGTTATGGCTGCCTGGCTGCCCCTTGCCGTGGGTTCGGCCAGTTTGGTTGCTGTTGGCTGCATCAGGAAAAGAATCGCTCTAAATTATTTGATGTCTCCCAACAGCGACAGCGAGTTGCGTTTTCATACTGCCCGTCCCGGGATTCACGACACCAACAGCAGCCAGCCTGTCTCCCAGCGAGCGGCTCGGCTCCAGCTGACATTCCAGGAGTGTAACTACTTACCTGAAGTTGCTGTTGTCATGTCCCCTCCTGGGTTTTGGGCTGTGTCCGTGTTCTGGTCACATACATTTCCAAATCAAATCCGAGCTGTATTCGTGAACATACATGTGTTTTTTTCTTGGTGAAAAATACACGTTTGCTAGTTGGCATACTGCTGAATTACTGTCCAATGTTGATATTTTAGTTTGTATTTTAATATTAAATAAATGTTTAATTAGATTCTTTCCTCTTGCCTGAGAACAATAATCAGCTGTAATGTAGGTTTTAATCATATTGTGCGTTTCAAATTCTGTCCTTGTTCAAGATGTTTAGCCACCAATGATGTGATTATAAGGCCAGAATAGCTGTCACAGAGGAAGCTTGTGAAGGTCTGATTCTAAAATTAGAGTGCTGTGGTTGAAGATATTTGATGAAGAACTGTCCTGCCCAAGCCCAGTCTTTTTGAAAATTTGTGGGGTTTGCAGCCACTTCTGCCCTGCGGGTTTGTTTAATGCAAGATCAGAGTTGGGGAGAAGTCAGTGACTGGTTTTCCCCTTTACTCTAAAAGGTAGAAATTGGCCCTCAATGCTTGGACGTAACTTGCTGAGCTGCATTTCCAGGCTACACAAATCAACATGCAATTCTGATGGTGTTCCCTTGTGATTTTTACTTAGAAGGGGTTGAGGGAGGAAAAAAAATCTTGAGTTCCTTATGCAGCTCTACAGTTCAGCTGAAGTTTTCCCACCCTCTTAAGTTATTAGCAAGTACAATTTAAAAGTGTTCTTTAAAAGCATCACTCAGCCAGCAGAATTCTTCCAAGGAATCAATCACAGGCACATTTCCTGAGTCCACTAATGGTCTTGTTTTCTTTCATCAGCACTACAGCACAAACAGAATTTTCCTGACAGACGTTAGAAACAAGTAGGTAAATCAGTTCAGCTGTGTCACTGCCTTTTCTTATAACCACCCTTTATCTCCACTCCATTCTTCCCTGTGCTATTCATATTCATGCACTCTCTTCTTATTACAGCCAGAAAACCGAATTGTGAGTCAGAATTTATTTTTTAATCAAAAGTCCTCCTCCATCTGTTGGAGCTCTTTAGGCTATTTCTGTTCTATTACAACGCTGAAGGGGGTGGTGGGGGAAGTAAGTGTTGCTCTTGGTAAACTTCCAGGACAACCTTTTCAAATAAATGCCTGGCTTAGGGTGACCTGGTCAGTAGGGTGCCTTCAGCCCGATTCTTCAGAGGGGCAGAGACTCTGCAGTTCCAGATTAAATCAGTGGGAGGCCTGAATGCTCAGTGCTTGTGAAAATCAGGCCTGAAGCATCAGAAAGTGGGGCACATTCAGTGTGTTTTTACTGTGGAAAACGTGACTGTAATTGCTGTGCATTTTGGTGGACCTTTTTTTTAGTGTTGTTTTTTTTTAAATCCCTTTAAAAATTATTCCCCTTAATGTGAGCAACTTGCCTTGTTCCGTGGTTGGGGACAAATAAGGACCTCTAGAGCTTATGCTTCCATGGAGGAGGACTTTAATGATCTTCCTCTTGCGTTCTTCCACCTGACACCTTTCGGCTATGTAGGCATTCATCGCTTTTCAGATCTACATTTTACTGGGAGCCCCAGGCTTTCTTCTGTCTGGGACTGCTCTTGCAAGACACTCCCATGCATAGTTTTCTTGCTGATAATAAACATTACAACTCCTTCAGCTCTGAGGTTTAACCATTGGAAGATAAAGTTTCTATGTGTCCACATCTCTGGAAAGCAAATTAAAAAGAAAAAGCATCACTGTAGCATGGAGAGCTTTAGAAATAGCTTTTTTTGCACTGGGGTGTTTGCTTCCAAAAAGAGCTATGCTGTGGACTAGAACTTGCTGTGCAATGCAAGTAGTGTTTCCAAAACAAACCCATTTTCCAGGGAGGCTGGCTCTGGCTTTGTGGAAGTAACACCCAGCAGCTGGGGTAAGGTTCTGGGGTGGGAGCCCAGACAGAGCAGACATGGGAGCAGCTCATGGTGAGGTGCAGTGGAGTCTTTGAGGATTAGTACAAAGAGGTGGAAGCACCAGCTCTCTTGAAGCGTGAGTTTGGAGTCATCTGGGATTGCCGAGGAGCCGGTTGCTGGTAGCAGTTTGCAGTTGCAGAGTGAAGTGATGCACCCTTAAACCCCCCCCAGTGCACAAATTGACAAATATTTAAAATGGTACGGCAAATTTTGTGACTGTTTTCTTATGATGTTTCTGAAAAAAAACGATTGCTAAACCCTTAGTGATACTTTTATCCCCAGTCTTCACAGAGAATCAAATTGCAGGACGCGCCGCTACTGCTCCAACCTGCAAAAAGTCTGGTGCCAGCAGCAGGGTCA